AAACAGGTTCTGTTTTTAGGGCCTGAACCTGGTTGTTGTTTTCCCAGGTTGGAAAAACAGAACCAGAGGTTTGCTGAAACTAATGATTGGGGAGGAGCCTAGACCGAGTAACCCCGCCCTTCAGGAAGATTGGGACGAGCGCGCCTTGGCTGGTTACTACTTGATGTCGCAGAGTTTGGAGCTGAACCAGCGTCACCACGTCATGCACCTGCTGCCGGAGGTTGAGTGCGGTCTGAAGGCGTGGACGGTGTTGAAGGAGCTGCACGCCCCTACCTCCGTCGCTGCGACGCTCATGATGGAGAGGGAGCTGTCCGCGTTGCGCCTAAGCGAGGGAGAGCCGGTGCAACCTGCTCGTGGCTTCAATTCACGAGCGGATTAAGCCTGCCGCAGAACCAGAGCTTGTGGACGCTCGAGTGGGTGCGGACGAAGATTCTGGAGGAGGACTTCCGTCGCCGCCACCTGAGGGGTGGAGACGACGGCAGCAGCGGCTACGGGATGCAAGGGAGCCGACGTGGCAAAGCACGTGGCTTCGGTGGTGCTGGACGCGGTGCAAAGAAGGACGACGACTCCAACGACCAACAAGGAGGTACCGGTTGGGGTCGCGGTGCGAAATCTGGACGTGGGGGCAAGTCGGGTGCTGGTAGCAAAATGAAAGGGAGTTGCTGGTATTGTGAGAAGGAAAGGCACCCCTGGTTTTTGTGCTATAAGAAACCCGATGGATGGACCCCCCAGAATCGTCACCAGGATGGCGGCGCGCAGAGGAACCAGAAAAACGGCGCCAACATGGTCGCTGATTCGTCCGACAACAACCCGAAGGGCAACGGCGGTGCGGAGAAGAAGGAGCGCACCGCGGGCCAATTCTTCCATGTAGGACACAAGGGGGAGCAAGGAGACGCATCTGCTAAGGTTGGAGCAGAGCTGCACCCCCTGGACTATTGGGTGTTGGACACAGGCGTTGCTTGGACAATGACGCCGCGCAAGGACCTGCTGGACGACGTACGCGCTGCACCGATTAACGAGGTGTGCTCTGCCTCTGGACACATGTTGAAGGTGGCTGGTGCGGGACGAGCTGCGTTTAAGGGAGCGGATGGCAAGCCGGTGGTGCTGCACGACGTTCTCCTCGTCCCCGACCTGAAGGCCAACCTTATCTCCCTCCGTAAGCTTGGCAAGGCTGGGGTGAACACCAACACGGATGGGGCTCGCACTTATAAGGGGAAGCTGGGCAATCGGGTGCTTTGGGATCTGCACGAGAGCAAGGACGTGTACAGATCTATGTGGCAGCTGCCGGCGCTGGCGTGGCACGGTGGGGGGCAGGCTGGAGAGGGGTCTGCATCCCAGGGGGAGTGCAACGCCGTTGGAGGGGTTGGTGTGAAAGTGACGGCCAGATCTGGGGAGACAATTTGGGCAACGGCACACCGACGCTTGGGGCATGTGGCAATGCCCTTGTTGAAGCAGTTGGAGAAAGATGGAGCCGTCAAGGGTCTGAAGCTGAACGGACAGCCACCCGATGAGAATTCTGAAATCTGTTTGCTCTCAAAGTTTACCCGTTTCCCCTTCCATAGTGTGGCTGGCAGGAGCAAAAAGCCGTTGGAGCTGGTCCACATGGACTTCGTAGGGCCGCTGCCGGTGCAAGGGCACAAGGGGGAGCGGTACTTCCTAACCATAGTGGATGACTGGAGCAGGCTAATGTGGGCGTATCCACTGAAGCAGAAAGATCACGCCGCCTCCACGATTCGGGACGATTGGCTGCCGTTCGTGGAGAAGCAAGCGAAGTGTGTGGTGAAGCGGATTAGGACAGATCGGGGTGGTGAGTTCCTTGGAGCTGAGATGACGGCCTGGCTCAAGAAGCAGGGCATCCAGAGGGAGCTGACCATGGCTTACACCCCACAGTCTAACGGTGTAGCAGAACGGGCGAACCGGACAATTCTGGAGACAGCTAGGGCGCTGCTCATAGAATCTGGGCTGGGCAACTTGATGTGGCCCCATGCTGTTCGGCACGCTACCGTCGCTAGGAACAGGGTACTCACAAAGGTTGGGGATGACTCGTGGGTGCCGTTGGAGAGGTGGCTTGGGAGGAAGCCGCCGGTGGACATGCTGAGGGTGTTCGGTTGCATGGCAGTCGCCCACGTCCCCAAGACCTACCGCAGTAAGTTGGGGGCGAGTGCAATCTGGTGTGTGCATTTGGGGCTGGCTGCTGAGAGCAAGGGATGGCTGCTGTGGGAACCTTCCAAGGGTGTGTTGTTTGATAGCAGGGATGTGAAGTTTGTTGAGGGCATGATGTATGGGAGCTGGGAGAAACAGCCGGAGGCCAGGGTGTCCCAGCAGATGGAGCAGATCACCATGCAGCTGGACCAGATAGTGTGTGGGAGGAGGAAGAGGAGGCAGCTGCAGAAGGTGGTGCTGGAGAGAAGGTGCAGGAGGCACCTGCCGGTGGAGGTGATGGTGTGGAGACTAGGGGTGGCACTAGTGGAGCTGCTGGATCCGAGGGAGGAGAGCAGCAGCAGGGGAAAACTAAGAAGCCGAAGGGTGTTGTTATGAAGGGGTGGGAGACACCCGTCTCCAGGCCAGGACGTACCCGTATGGCTACTAAGAAGCTGACTGCAGGAGCTGATGTAGCGGAGCAGCAGCTTGGGACCGAGGAGGCATTGCTGATTCTACCGCATGGCTATGACCCGGATGAGGAGGATGAGCCTGCCTACTGTTTTCTTGCCCCTACACCAGAGGAACCAGCTAGTTTGGAGGAGGCATTAGCTGGACCAGATAGGGATAAGTGGCTGGTTTCTAGGGATGCTGAGTACCAGAGCCTGCTAGAGAGTGGGACATGGGAGCTGGTGGTGCTGCCTGAGGGGAAAAAAGCCGTACAGTGCAAGTGGGTGCTAAGGATCAAGACCGATGACAAGGGACAGGTCACCATCTACAAGAGTAGGCTGGTGGCTAAGGGATTTATGCAGAAGGAGAAGCGGGACTTCAATGAGATCTTTGCTCCCACTGCCAAACCCCCTACCCTCCGTGTCTTGTTGGCAGATGCAACCGTTAGTGGGAAATTCATCATTCAGTCAGATATATCAACGGCATTCCTCAATGGGATTTTAGAGGAGGATGTATACATGACGCAGCCACCGAGGTATGAGGATGGTACGGGCAGGGTGTGCAAGCTGAAAAAGTCCATCTACGGCTTGAAGCAGGCGCCACGCTGCTGGTACCAGAAGTTGGCAGCTTTTTTAGAGGAGATGGGATTCAGGACCAGCAGCTGTGATGAGAGCCTCTTTATTAAGGGGGAGGGGGAGAAGCTGGTGTTGTTTCTGGTCTACATGGACGACATTCTTCTCTTCAGCAGCAGCATGAAGGAGATCCAGAAAGTGCAGCAGCAGCTGATGGAGAACTTCAAGTGCAAGAACCTTGGGGAGGTAAAGTACTACCTCGGAATGCACGTGGAGAGGGATCTGGATCACAGGTGGTTGAAACTGCACCAGGAGAAGTTCATCAAGGAGGTGGGGGAGAAGTATGGGATTGAGAATGAGCGCAAGGTTGCAACTCCCCTGCCAGCAGAATTCAAGCTTGTGAAAGCTGCAGAGGATGAAGGGGTTGAAGCCGAGGAGCAGCAGCAATTTCAGTCCTTGGTGGGCAGCCTGTTGTATGCAGCTGTTCACACGAGGCCTGACATCTCTTTCTCTGTTGGGCAGCTGGCTAGGGTGGTGCAGAATCCATCAGAGGAGCAGGTGGATGCAGCTAAGCGTGTGGTGAAGTATCTGAACTCCCACCCAAGCATTGGAGTTCAATACTCCACATCTGCACAGGTGAAGCAGAAAGGGGTTGAGGTGCTGAAAGAGAAGGGGGAGAGGCTTGGAGAAGGCAAGCTCTTTCTCACTTGCTTTACTGATGCAACTTGGGCTTCTGAGAAGGAAGATTCTTCATCTGTGGGAGGATCTGCGTAGTAGGGGGAGGACCTGTTAGTTGGAGGTTCAAGTAGCAGACAGAGACAGCATTCTCTTCCGTACAGAGTACATGGCAATGTTCCACGGGGTGAAGGAGGTGATTTGGCTCAGGAGGTTGTTAGAGGAGATTGGTCAGGAGCAGAAAGTTGCTACGCCGTTGTTTTGTGATAGCAAGGGGGCTCTTGGGATGGCCAGGAACGCTGTGCTTCATGGGCTGAACAAGCACATGCGTATCAAGTGGCACTGGCTGCGTAAGGAAGTGAAAAAAGGGACGGTGAATCCGATCTAGATCAAGACTCACCACCAGCCAGCAGACTTTCTCACCAAGAGGCTTGCGGATGAGCCTCATAGGCGTTGTGTGCGCATTAGTGGAATGAGCATGAACTAGCATGGAATGATGGAAATGCAGCCGGCAGGCTGAGGGGGAGTGTGTTGGGTGCAAATTCACATCGCACGTCATCCTGCCGTCTGTTTGTACGAGTATGCGTGTGCGAATGCATTTACGTGTGAATGGTATGTTCGTAAGTTTGTTTGCTTTTGCAATTTTCGCTTGAAGCATTTGCAGGTACTCGCATAATGTGCGCTTCGGCACAACGTTGTACGCGCTATGAAACAGTACAAGCAGAAAGGACGAGCTCGCAAAGGAACCCAAGATAGAAGCTTTGCGGTTCGGCTTACTTGATTGCGCAGATTCAGTTTTATCCAACTCGAAATTGTACTGTTTTGTTTGGTTGATTATAGTGTAGCAGGGCAGGCACTATAGGGGTACAATTTAGGTGAAGGTTGGATGTTGTTTGTCTGTATCTGCATGCTACAGGGCCAGGGGAAACCAGCGGAACCAGCATTTGGCTGGTTGGACAAAGACAAAACAGGTTCTGTTTTTAGGACCAGAACCTGGTTGTTGTTTTCCCAGGTTGGAAAAACAGAACCAGAGGTTGTTTACCAACCTACCACCTGCTGTTTTGTCCAGCCAGGTTGGTTCTATTGCTTGGAATTATTTAGGATCATCCCTGGTTGTTCCCAGGTTGATTCCCAAGGTCTTAATAGCTTGAGTTTATTAGGCCCTTAAACCAATAGAACTGACTGCACATGTTCGAGCGCCTTTTCGAAACTGGTACCATGGGTCTTCCGGCACTCCTCCTGTGCGCACAGCCACTCCTCCCGAACACCACCTGTGGAGACGAAAGCGATCGCCAGGTCTGCTAGCAGAGTCTTCATCGCCGGAATAAGCTTCATAGAAGCAGCTGCTCGGATGGGAGATGGTACAGAGGTGAGACGGGGAATCTGCGGCTGCGACCGCTTGCAAAACAAGGTGAGAGCAAGGTGAGTTACCATTGATCTCATGCGCGTGCATCAGCGTCAGATTCCAGTTCCCACTGTTGTTCTGCCGCTCCTTCACATAATCATCATGAAAGCACGACATATGCATCCCGTTGCAGAAAACGCAGGTGAGAGCGGGGAACGACACCATCAGTTCCACACCGAGGACACGGTCAGTGACCTTGTGCCACCACTTATACTTATCCCCCGGATGCCTGAAAACCAGGCCCTTAATCTTGTCCGTGTCTGATCCCGAAACCGGATCCTGCACACGGTGAAACGCCGTCCCGTCCAAGAAAGCCGTTCGACCCTTCTTCAACAGTACCGCAGTCACCAAGTTTTCATTGATCATCGCCGGTGAGGTCACCGCCGGGACCCCTTTTAGCAGCTCTTCAATCGCCTCAGGGTGAGCCGCACGCTCTCTCAGGTACTCCTGATTTTCCGGATGAAGCCAGCCGAGCGTTAACTTCTTCTCATTCACCGTGTAATGTTCGATCTCTCTGCTGCGCATGAACTTGGCGTAAGCTTCCTGCAGGAAGACCACCTTAACCCGACCGAAATGTTGCTTTGAGAGGAAGGTAGCCGTGAGCTGCTGACATCTTGTCGTCGTGCTTGCATTCTCCGACATGTGCTTCCCCCACATCCTCAGCAAGTGGTGGATCGTACCAATGATGCGCGGAATCTTCTTACTCCAGGCGAAGGGAACCAGCAGCGTGATGGCAACTCCTGCCTGAGCAGCGATGTCATTCAGCACAACCGGGTCCTGACACTCGTCCGGATCGTCGCTCATGTAGCCGCAGTCCTCGTCCTCCTCCTGGACCTTAGCCTTTACTTTTGGCAACGCGCTTGAGCTTGCAGGCGGAGCAGCCGACACCTTGCCTTCCTCCTTGTGGTTGCCTGATTTTCCGCTCTCCTCTTGCAGATCGTTGATACGCAACGCCGACGTCCGCGCTGTCAGTGTGTTGATGGCGTCGTCAACACGCGAAGCCGTCGCGCCATTGAATAGCGTTTTCGGGGTGACAGGCTCAGGACGGACCTCCGTTGGCTTCTTGCCATGCTGACCCGCAACAGGAGCGACCACCGCTGGAGACCCTTCAGGAGGAGCCATAGTGTGATGATGATAAGAGCTGCTAGAAGGAGTACTAATCGCGAGCAGAGAGAAACTGAGCACTGGAAGCTCCCTTCGTGACTTGTCTTTGTCCCTCCACCAACGCCTGTATAAATAGTATAAAGGGTCTCTGTGAAGCGCCGCGTTGAGAGCACCCTTGGAAATAGCTTGGTAGAGCTCCCTGGAACTGTCGCGCACCCAGTAGTAACCTTTGTCAATGAGGACCTGGAAAGTGCCTGACAATAAGGCCGAATGGTAAATGTTCGCCTGATGAACACCAAAAGTGTACCATCGGATTCTTAAAGTGTTAAGGAGTACGAATCTAGGTTCCAAATCGGCAAATGTCAAGAAATTGCTAGACATTGACGCGTGCGAAGTTCTCAGGATCAGTAATGGCGGCCTTGAGGTTGCCATCATGCGCGCAGGGGGGTTAGAGTAAAATGTGGTGATCCCAAGGAGCGGTTTTAAGTTTGATTATGTCTTAATAGCCTGAGGCCCTTACACCAACAAGTTGTTATCAGAGCTGCGTTATAGCGATCCTCGATACCAAGGGGAGTGTGAAGAAACCAGGGCTCGCTGATCAAGGAGGTTCTGAAAAGCTTAACCGTCAAGAAGTTCAATTGTGACGGTTATGATGATTGGGCCTGGAAAAAACAACTCTATTTCGGTCAGATTGGATTGCCGAAAACTAATGATTGGACCAAGTGACCCCGCGCTGCAGGAAGATTGGGACGAGCGCGTCTCAGGAAGATTAATGTCGCAGAGTTTGGAGCTGAACCAGCGTCACCACGTGATGCACCTACTGCCGGAAGATGAGTACTGTCCGAAGGCGTGGACCACGCTAAAGGAGCTGCATGCCCCGACCTTCGTTGTTGCGACGTTGATGTTGGAGAGGGAGCTGTCCACGCTGTGCTTGAGCCAGGGAAAGCCGGTGCAGACTGTCCTGGATAAAATGCATGACCTCTACGCGAAATTGGCGACCGCGGGAATCACCTACCCAGAGCAGACCATGTGTTTGAAGATGCTCTCGCTACTGCCGGAATCGTGGCTTTAATTCACGAGCGGATTGAGCCTGCCGCAGAAGCAAAGCTTGTGGACGCTTGAGTGTGTGCGGACGAAGATTCCGGAAGAAGATTTCCGTCGCCGCGAACTAAGGGGTGGAGATGACGGCAGCGGCGGCTACGGTGTGCAAGGAAGCCAACGTGGCAGATCACATGGCTTTCGTGGTGCAGGGCGCGGTGCAAAGATGGACGATGACTCCAACGACCAACAAGGAGGTACTGGTTAAGGTTGCAGTGGGAACTCTGGCGGCGGGTGCAGATCGGGGGCCGGTGGCAAAATGAAAGGAAATTGTTGGTATTGTAAGAAGGTGGGGCATCCCTGGTTCTTTTGTTATAAGATACCTGAAGGATGGATCCCCCAGAATTGCCATCAGGATGGCGGCGCGTAGAGCAACCAGAAAAGTGGCGCGAACATGGTCGCAGATTCGTCCAACGACAACCCGAAAGGCAAAGGCGGTGCTGAGAAGAAAAAGGAGCACGCCGCGGGCCAATTCTTCCATCTTGTAGACGATGGGGAGCAAGGAGACGGTTCTGCCAAGGTTGGAGCAGAGCTGCACCCCCTGGACCTTTGGGTGTTGGACACGTGCGCTGCGTGGACCTGCTGGAGAACTTCAACTACAAGACCCTTGGAGAGGTAAAGTACAACCTCGGGATGCACGTGGAGAGAGATTTGGATCACAGGTGGTTGAAGGGCACCAGGAGAAATTCATCAAGCAGCTGAGGTAGAAGTTTTTTTTTTTTTTTTTTTAAGAATGCATTACACTTATAAAGTGGGTACAGCCACAGTCGTAACTGTAAGGGGGAAGGGAACAGGCAGACAAGAGGTCTACACCGCCCTTCCTTGACAGACTAAGGTGGATGGAAGATAGTTCTGGGGTTGGCCCACACCAATTTGAACTCCTCCTTCCACGTCACCGTGTCCTCGTCATGAAAAATCCGGCTCAGCAGCATAGCCTCGTCCCTCGCCAGATGGGGCCAGCACTGCCCCGCCCCACTTGCCTCTTCTTTCACCACTCGTTTCTTGCAGGAACTGTAGATTCTGGCGTGTTTCATGAAATTCACACCGATCTTTCTGATGACTCTCCGCGGTTGGAATTTGTCCTGCCGGAAAGCTGCTCCGCACCGTTCGAGCCATATCTGGTGGAATGCCACCGCAATCAACGGTTTTTCTGTAAAACCTGACGGCGTACCATCTACAGCGAACAGAAAGTCCTCCAACTTATCCACCTCCCTTGTCGGGTTCATCTGCTTCAGTGCCCCCTTAAGCGCGCCAATGACAGGCTGTATACTAGTGCATTCCAGCAAACAGTGCCCTAGGGTTTCGTCTTCTTTGCAGTGCGGGCAGCTGATGCGATCACGCATGAAGTGCAGTCTGTCCCCCACCTGGAGGTTCTTGTTGTGCAGCCTCAGAATGACTTCTCTTGCTCTACCCGGAGTGACCAGAGTGTCACGCTTCCGGATGACCTCCTTCCAGTCAATCGGTTTCCCGTAGTCTTGTTCCCACCTCCGCTGTTGCTTCGGTTGTACAGCTGGTCCTTTCAGCTCCGCTCTCAGCCTTTTCAGAGGAGCGCCTTTATCCTTCTCACACAACACTGACGTCCTGAGTCGTGTGAGAGGAAAGCCCGCCTCTCCCATTAGCACACCGTTTTCCACCACCAGCGAGGTTAGTCTGTGCACCGCAAGCCGTACCTGACCAGCCCTGTCTGATAGTATCACCTCTCCTTTCTTCCCCACCGCGGCTGGTTTCCAGCTGAGGTAGAAGTATGGGATTGAGAGTGAGCCCAATATTGCAACTCCCTTGCCAGCTGAATTCAAGCTTAGGAAGGCTGCTGAAGGGAAGGGGTTGAAGACATCATATAAACAAACATCTAACCTTCACCTAATTGTACTCATATAGAGCCTGCCCTGCTACACTTTAGTTAACCAAACAAAACAGTACAACTCTACGTGGTTCGACAGCGGAATGCTACCCGAGTCAACGCTAGTACGCTAATATTACGACACTAGGCAAACGATGTCCGAGCCATAACTTTGCAATGGCGTAACTTTTCGCGAGGCAACTTGGCTTATTTCAAAGCTCTTGGAGCGAGCTTCGATCGACAGCGTGCTGAGACGCTGCGCGACGTACAAGGTACTCTCGTTATCTTGGCTAATCATTCTTGACTCCTCTCTCTACAAACTCGGATCCGAGGAAGGGGCTGGTCTTGCACCAGGCACCCAAGGACCCTTGGAAATGACCCCGAGGAGTAGTTTTAAGTTTGATTATGTCTTAATAGCCAGAGTTTATTAGGCCCTTACACCAACACATAATGCTGTTCTTATCTTCCATAGAGCAAATTGACAGGACTCAAAAGCTGCTGAAGGACCACTTCAAATGCAATATGCTGGGGATATCCAGTACTGTTTTGGGCTGCAGATTGAGAGAGATATTGAGAGGATGTGGCTAAAGGTGCACCATTTATACTAAATATCTGGTATTATGAAGCGCTGTGGTGTGACTCGGGGTCGCACTATGATGACGCCGTTTCTTGCAGGCTTCACATTGAAAAAGGCAGCTGAGGATGATAATGCACTCGAGTATGAGCTGCAGAATTAGTACCAGTCACTAATTGGGAGTTTGATATAAGCAGCTGTGCATACACGACCTGATGCTTCATTCGGAGTGGGGCAGCTGGCCAGAGTTGTACAGCGGTCCATTGAGGGGCAATCGGAGGTGGAAAAGCGCATGTTGTACCTCGGCATCTGCTGGTGTTCAGTTTTCAGCTGCTGGCCTACTGAAATAGTTTGTAGCAGATGGGATGACGCCTTGAACCTTGAAGATGGCATGATTTACCGACGCTACATTGGCCTTGGAGGATGAGGAATATTCATATACGGGTGACTCTGTGTGCATGGTTGGATGAGGACCAGTGAGTTGGAGGTCCAAGAAGCAGAGTGAGATTACTCAGTTTTCGGCAGAGGCAGGGTACATGGTGATGTACCACGCTATCGAGGAGACTGTATTCCCGAGGAAGCTGCTGGAGAATATGGAAGTTGAACAGGAGGGACCTACAACACTTTTCTGTGATAGCGGGGGTTCTTATGGTATGGCCACTAATCCTATCCTGAATGGGCAAAACAAGCACATGAAGATTAACTGGCACTGGGTAATGCAGATGGGTGAAGGATGGGGTTGTTGAACTTCATCATGCAAAGGCCAACAAGCAGGCGGCAGATTTTCTCACCAAGAGACTTCCCAAGAGTGCACATTGAAAGTGTGCTAAGACGTGTGGCATGGCATTGCACTAGTGGCAGCAGTGTTATGAGTATATATGTGTTTTTGTAGATGTCAAATTGCATGCGTGTGAGAGTATGTACATGCAGTCCGTTAGTCACAGGGGGTGTTTGTGTTGGTGTAAGGGCCTAATAAACTCAAGCTATTAAGACCTTATCAAACTTAAAACCTCTCATCGGGGTCACCTCCAAGGGTCCTTGGGTGCCTGGTACAAGACCAGCCCCTATCCTCGGGTCCGAGTTTGTAGAGAGAGGGATCAAGAGGGACTTAGTCAAAACAGCAAGAGTACCTTGAACGTCGTGCAGCGTATCGTGCAGCCCGTCGATCGGATCAAGCTGAGAATTTACTATATCGAAGCTCGCTCCAAGAGCTTAAAAATGAACCAAGTTGCCTCGCGAAAAGTTCTGCCATTACGAAGTTATGGCTAGGACAGCGTTTGCCTAGTGTTGGAGTGCTAGCGTACTAGCGTTGACTCAAGTAGCATTCCGCCGTCGCACCGCGTAGAAACGAAATCCCGCTTCTCGTTGAATAACGGTTGCATCTGCCAACAAGATACTGAGGGAAGGGGGTTTGGCAGTGGGAGCAAAGATCTCATTAAAGTCCCGCTTCTCCTTCTGCATAAACCCCTTAGCCACCAGCCTACTCTTGTAAATGGTGACCTGTCC